TGCACCCAATACATACAGTCTACATATCGTCTTCTCTTCTTTTCTCAATTCTTTTTGTCTATTCCATTACTCATCTCCTTTGTTTTCATCATAATCAAAACAATTACTCACCTTTGTTTATTGTGTTTATGGTAATTACTTTTCAAATTCAATATACTTCAATAAGCAACCTAATTTTTATTTTATTAGTAAAACAATGGTTATGTTTTCGTAACTGCAAGTACTTTTGCATTTTTTTTTGTTATTGGTGCAAAATGTGTTTTTATTTTAAAAAAATAAAGATGCAAAATATATGTTTTTAAAAAAAAAGGAAAAAAACAACTAAATACTAGTTTCATGGTTTAAAAAAATATATAGATTTGTTTTTTTTTAATTCGATTTTCAGGGATCTCTAATTCTTTGTGGGGATGGGGAAAATATTTTCTTTGGTCGGGATCGGAGACGGACATGACGAAAAATATTTCATGTGGCGGGGATCGGGGGTCGGGGATGGGGATGGGAAAAACATTGGGTGGCGTGGCGGGGAGTGAGGAAGCATCCTCCGCACACTCTCTGCCTCGTTGATATCACTATCAATGCTCAAGACATTGTCATTAGTGATCCTCGTGAAACTTAAAATCCTCCTTATAAAAACATTATGAATATTAAAAATTGATAGTGAAACATTTGACATGAAAACTTTGAAACTTAAAAAAATTATTTTGTTTGGGAAAAGTTCTCAAGGATGGATTGCAAGACCATAGAATTATTTGGGTTCAAGGTTTGTGTTGTTAAATAATCATAATTGAATATTTATGGCTTAATTGCAATCTTGGTCCTCCTATTTTTATTTTCATTTTACTTTTGGCCCCCCTATTTTAAAATCTGAAATTTTTGTTCCCCTATTTTTATTTTTTTATTACTTTTGATTCCTATTTTAAAATCCAAAATTTTGGTCCCATTTTTTTTCTTCAATTTTTTAGCTTTTTATCCCCTTTTCCAATTGAGAAGAGGACTAAAAATCAAAACAAACTTAAAATAGGGGGACCAAAAGTAAAAATAAAATAAAAATAGAGGGACCAAAATTTTAGATTTTAAAATAGGAGGATAAAAAATAAAAATAAAATTGAAAACAAGGGGGACCAAAATTCCGGATTTTAAAATAGGTGGATCAAAACTAAACAAATTACAATTAAGCCTTTATTTTATTTATCTAACCTTTTTTTATCAGACATTTGATCTTCCTCAAGATCAATGAAACGAAGATCCCAAATATTTTCTCTTCTCCAAGATATCCAGCATTTGTTCTTCACCGACAATAATGACAATGAAAAACAAATGTACTATTCTATGTAAATAATGTAGCTCGTACGCAAATTAATTTATTAATATTATGCGTAAACAATGTAATAAATATTAAACAAAAAAAATATAAAAAATCGAGGGATAAATTGACAGCTTTTCATGAGGCCCTTCGTTACTCCACCTCTTTAACTGAGGTTAAATTAACTTTGCGTCCAAGGTTACATGTGTTTTTGTACTTGTGTTTGGTGTGGTCTCCTTAAGCATCGCTACAACAACATAGGGTTAGGTTTGATGAATTGAGTAGGAAGAGTTGAAATCCACAAAGAATCTATTTGGTGGGGTGACCTTGTCAATTTATGTCGTCTGCACGGTCACGACGTTGACCCCTTTGTTTGCAATATTGATTGTGTTTTAGGTAATGGCTCAGAGATTTCTTTTTGGAACAATAAATGGAGAGATTCTCAAAGCCTAAAGGAAACGTTTCTGGAGCTATTCATAATTGCTAGTTCTCCTGATGGAAGCGTTGCAGAAGTAGGTTCTTGGGAAAGAAATTCTTGGTTTTGGAATAATATCCTTTTGTCTGTTTTTTCTTCTAGATCAGATTGGTTAGTGCATGAGTTCTTAGATATTATAGACAAAGTCAAGCCTCATCCTAACTTCTTCGACATATTTGTTTGGCCACCAGAGCCCTCAAAAGCGTATCTAGTAAATTCTTGCTACAAAATTTTGGTAGAGGCGGAAACAGCGAACCCGGAGATTAATAATTTGGGTGGAGATCCACGGAATCTTAAAATCCCTTCTAAAATTTAGATTTTCAAATGGAGATTATTGTTAAACTGTCTTCCAACTAAATACCATCTTTTGAAGAAAAAAATTATCCATAATGCTAGAGACCTATTTTGTGTTCTTTGTTTTGAAGAGGAAGAAAATTTGAACCATTTGATACTTCACTATGTGGTTTTTAAGAATATTTGGAGAGGAATTTTTGCTTGGTTAAGAATGGATGCAGTAATCTTTACCAATTGCATTGACGCTTTCAATTTTCATCCAGACTCATTGCAGAAGTCTCTAAGCTCGAGTAAGGTAGCAATGATCTCGCTAACAACTTTTGGAGTATTTGGTTAGGTAGAAATAGCACTTTACTTTGTGGTTCTGTTATTAACGTAAATGATATTGTGGTCTCTATTAAAATCCTCACGTGTAATTGAATTGCAATAGGTAACAAGAATAAATCCTCTTGTAATTTTATGGATAGATTTGTGTCCTCTTTAAATTGTTTAAATTCAAGGTGATGGATCCTTTTTTAATTGTGAGGGTTAAATATCCATTACACTCTTTTTGATATTGAATTCTCTGTTTATAAAAAAAAAAAAAATTTTTTTAACTTTTTTGTACTATTTTAGTATCATTGCCTAAATTTTAAAATCTATTGTATTTTTCATTCAAGAAATCAATTATTCCTTCTGTCCCAAATTATAAAATATTTTGGTCATTTCACACGAATTAAAAAACTTAATTATTATTTTATAAAAAAGACAAATTATTTATGACTTTATAGTAATGTCCTTCATAATTACACAGAAGAGAGAAATTAAAAGAATTGAAAGAATAAATAATCATAAATATTTAAAAATATATTAGAGAAAATATCATTAATATTATATTAAGAATGTAAGGTGATTTATAATTTAGAATCAATTTAAAAAAAAATAATTTATAATTTAGAATATTTGAAATTTCAATGTGGATAAAAAGATGCTCATAAAAAGACAACAACATAGTAGTATATAATACAATAATGTAGCGATGAAAAACGTTTTGTTTGTATCTTTTGTACGAGGTGACAAGAGTCACATGATTTGCATGTGGTTACAAACTTACAACATCTAGAATTAGGTCTAACTATGCAGAAAAAAGTGGACTGCAGCTGCAATCATGGCAGAAGTTCCTTCTCGGAATCTTGCAATCGATTAACAACACAAACGCGCGTTTCACTTTTATGCTTCACTGTCTCACAGATCACTTGCTTCAATTCCAACGTCCCCACCATTGATCAAAAACCTGCTGACCCACTTTATAGTCTTGATTAGTCCAATTACCATCAACTATATAAACCAATGGACTCAATTTAAGGATTTTATTATATTTATTTAAGTTCAACTGCGACAAAACTCTATAAAAAAAAGGTGAAAAAAGACAATCTGTTTGACCAATTGACTAAACTATGAAAATGGTCCCTAGTATTATTAATGTTTTTTATAAAATATAACTCAATATACATCTCATTTTTATATAAAGATATTGATGTCTTTTACCAAATATAAGCATCACTTTCTTCTCAAGTTCTACTCAATTAGACAAACTAAGAATTTTTTTATTTATTTTTTCTTTCACTCTCATTCTTAGCAACAATATGTAAGAAAATATTTTTAAAATTTTCAATCTTATAAATATTTATTTATTTTAATTAAAATGATGATCACCAAAGTGTAAATATATCTATAATATAATTTTTATTCAAAATCGTCAAGTTAATGATTATGACGTCTTTAATGTAAATGTTAATCATAATAGATATTATTGCAGTGAATCAACGCACAACTCTGATATACGTCAAGGGAATTTGAGATTTTGGGAAAACATGGAAACAAAGGTTGGGGATAAAGTGAGGACAAAGACTACAAAAAGAAGATTGAGGCAATAGAAGCGAAGGGAAAAAAAATAGGTTGCTTGATCAGAAGGTGTCAAATTCAAAGGAAAAATAATTATAGGTTTTCTTAACATGAGAGGGGAAGGAAGCTCTGTGAAAAGGAGAAGAATTAGTGTCAAAATTTTGGCAGGGCAGACAGATGTTTTCTTGATTCAAGAAACGAAACTGAAGTGTATTGACTCGAATATGGCTGGTAGATTTTGGCCTCAACAAAAGGTGGGTTGGACTTGCTCAAATTCGAAGGGGATTTCTGGAGGAATGATTATCTTATGCAAGGAAGGATTCTTAACTCTTACTTTCTCTTTTAAAGGTGAGATTTTCTTGGGTTTGAAAGTGTCATGGATGAATCATTTTAATTATATCCTTAATGTTTATTCTCCCTGTTGTCTAATTAAGAAGAGGGTTATGTGGACGAATATTGCTAATTTGAAAAGGAGGTATGGTGATGGGGAATAGTGCACAGGAGGAGACTTTAACTCGAGGGCTATGTGAGTTCCAAAGAGAGGAAATGAAGTTTAAGTTACAATAGGGCGTCTAAAATGAGAGACTTTGCATGGTTCATTGATGAAGTCAGTCTTATTGATATGCCTTATAAGGGTAACAAATTCAGTTAGTACAGTGGCGATAGGAAGTCAATGAATCGTTTGGATCGTTTCCTGGTGTCTGATGTATTGACTGACAAGTGGGGTATTGTTGGCCAAAAGATAGGGAAGAGAGAGGTGTATGACCATTGCCCTATTTGGATCTTGATTAACAAGGAAGATTGGGGTCCAAAACCTTTTAGGGTTATAAACTCTTGGTTTAATAACAAAGACTTTGTCGTTTTCATGGAGAAAGAATGGAAGAGCAAGTGGAAGATGTAACCAGATGTGAAACATATGTTATCCAGACGTCCTGTAAAATAGGAGTCAGAATAACCAGTGAGCTCCAATTTATCTGACTTCTGATAAATAAGCATGAAGTCTCTAATTCTCTTCAGGTAGCACATTACACGTTTTACTGCTATCTAGTGCTGCTTACCAAGGTTTGCTAGATATATGCCAAGAACTCCTACAATGAATGCTAAGTTGGAATGTGTGAAAAATTGAGCATACATAAGACTCCCCACAGCTGAAACATATGGAACCTTATGCATACCTTCTTTTTCGAGATCCATAGTGGGGCATTGTTTCAGACTAAACTTATCTCCTTTAGCAACAAGTGTGTCTCCTGGTTTTCTATCTTTTATGAAGAATCTAACTAGAACTGTATTAATATGGCTCCTTTGTGACAATCCTAAAATACTTCGAGAGCGGTCTCCAAGATCTTTCATCTTAAAATTCTTTGTTTCTTAAACCATACAAAGGTGACATAAATTATATCATGTGTTCAATATAGATATAAGAGGAAATATGTCATTATACACATGAACATTATCACATACATGTTATGTCATATCACATGATATTATGATTACTTGGATATTAGTGATGTGTTGTTATACACCCCTTCATTTTTATAATATTAAATAAATTATTTAATATTATTGTCAACGTTACAAAAATCTATAAGGTCTGATACATAAAAACAAATAAACGAGAAATTCAATAAATGAATGAGATTCATTTATGACTCGGTGATGCATTTTTACTATGCATTGTCTCTAATTAAGAAACACTATACATTGTAAGTTGTGGTGCATACAAGTGGTTCTTTAAATATAACACTTATACTAGTGACAATCTCTTATTCACTTATGTTAGAACAAGATTTGTTTATAACATATATTCCTTGGGTTTTGATGATAACGAAATATTAAAAGAACAATGGTGTTATCTAATGTGTGTTCAAGTATGCAGGTTCTTTTACTTAAAGATATATTCATAATCTGATATGAAGGCACACTTGAGAGAAACTGAGTTACGTGATTCTGATGATACAAAATCTAAAGAATACTTGCTAAGTGATGTCTGGCTTAGATTCTGAAGCTGAAGGCCTCAGCATCAGAAGAAGTAACATATTGTCTCTATACTTGATGATTGTATTGACTTCTTGTGATTGTTCAGAAGTAGTAGCAAAGCTGAAGTTGTCTGTATTGCAGAAAGCAATTTGTAACGTCAAATCAGTTAGTCATATATAGTCTAAGTTCACAAGGCTCAAGAAGAGTTGACATGCTTTTCGAAGACGCAATGGTTAAACATGTTACACAATGGGTCAAGATCCTTTAGTGTATCTATCTTCAACAACTCTTGTACTATGGAGAAAACAAAGACATTTAATTAAGTTATCTCTTCAGGCGGCTAGTCTTTTACAAACTGCTATATAAGTAGCTGAAGCTTTACTCTGAATACTTAACAAGGAATAAGAAGGAGAAGAAATCGCAAAGAAGATAGAGGTGTTTAGAGCCTCTATCTGAATGAAAAAATAACAAGATGAACAATGAGCAATACTATTGAATATGCAGAATATCCTGGTATTTGTTGTAAATTGTAAAATGCCTTAATGTTTTCCTAAAGATTGAATATCCTGGAAATGTTAAGTGTTTAAGGTCTTTGTTAAGGTGATTTTCACATACCTATAATTTTGTATTAAGTACACCTTGTTCTCTATTCTATTGTACATGTTGTTTAGTAGTTTAGATCAAAGTCTCTTGCTACATGTTTGAGCATCAAAGCCTCCAGTTGAAAAGCTTGAGCCAAGTAAGTCTCTTGTTACGTGCTTGAGCATTGAAATCTTGATTTGTGTTGATTAAGCAAAGAAACCTTTGACAGTGCGTTTGAGCAAAAGTCTTGAATCAGGTGGGTTTAAGTAAGGGAAGTCTTGGATTGAGAATCTGAGCAAAGAAACCTTGGAAAATGCGTCTAAGCAGAAGTCTTGAACCAGGTGGATTTAAGCAAGAGAAGTCTTAGGATCTAATGATCTAAGCAGAGAAGTCTTGATCAGGTGCTGGTTGAGAAAGAAATCTTAGACTGTAGGTCTGAGCTGTAAAAGTCTTATGCTTAAGTGCATAAGCAGTTGTAATCATGAGTTGATTATATTGGAAAATTTCTTGCGAGACAAGGGGACTGGAGTACTCTCGGTTGGAGAAGAACCAGGATAAATCTGAGGTGTTCATGGTTCTGTTTACTCTACGAAATATTGTTCCGCTGCATTTATGATCAGAGTCTGAACTATTGTTTAGAATCTGAACTACGTTCAGAAGCAGAAATGTCTTTAGTAAAAATAATTCAACTCGCATTCTTATTTATTTTCCCACATGCAACTTATTCTCAAAACTCTAGCCGCACTAGGATTTTGAGTTCGTTTTCACTCTAAAAACTCCATTCATTCACAACTAGTATCGTAGGTGGAGGAATAGGTGGAGGAATCACTCAATGTATATTTTGCAATGAGTAAAGGAGTTATTGTACATGATATTCTCATGAGCAATCTATTTCGACAATTAAGTATTATGCACTACAAGAGGTATTCGGTCGATCCCTAATGCATTATCATCCACACAACATTAGTCTCCCCTAAAATTTTAGATTTAAATTTTATGATGTAAATATTTTAAAAAATTTAACATATAATTTGAAGATGAAAAATGACCGACATCTATAAAAGTATAAGAATTTTTTTTAATCCAATTTTTATTTTATATAAAATCATTTTAAAACTAAATTAATAATAATAAATAATTAATTAATCTATTAAAATAATTCTACATTATCTGATCACATGTCACAATATTAAAACTATATCACATCAATATTTTTAAGTCTGAGAATTCAAAGAAGACATTAAAGTAGACAAATTTTAAAATGAAAAGACCAATTATATGAGTGAGTAAAAATAAAAGACTAAAATTATAATTAAACCAAAAAATTAAATTACTTATTTTTATTTATTATTTTATTTCAATAATATTTACACATAATTACTCAAAAATAATAGTTACACAATTTAATAATATTATATTAAATATATTTTACGTCATATCAATCGACAGATTCTATTATGATTATAAAATAATTCATTTTCAACCCTATTTAACGAAAAATCATATAAATGTATTCCATAAAATACTTTTCTCGAGGATTAATATTTTGTGACAAAAATATATTTAAATTAATTCGTTTTATTACATTTTACAAAATTCAATGCTTAAGTATATAGTTAGTCGAAATAGCTTTTTTCAATTATTAAATATTAAGGGTTTTTTTGTTTTACTTTTAAAAAATTTTTTTTTATAAGTACAACATTGCTATTTAATACGAAGGATTTTCTTCGTATATTATACGAACAATGATGTATTTAATTTTAGAATAAATTGATCTTTCGGATTTTATAGAATTCATGGTTGGTGATGGCATAAAAAGTTGTTTAAATGATTGTCATGTTATTCGTATAATTCTCGTTTTTTAACATAAAGCAATTTTCTTATAAATATGTTTTTCAAAATATTATAAATATTATCTTTTCTAAATTAAAAGAATAATTTTGAAAATCAAAATATAGTTGAAATTATAATTTTTTTAAAAAGTATTTCAAACATGATTTTTATAAAAAAAATAATTTAAAATAGGTTTAAAATTAAGTAATTTTTTAAAATTTTGATATTCAACAAAATTTTTAATAAAATGATAAAATATTTAAAATAATAATTTAAATCAAATTTTTATTTAAATTTTTTATGAATTTTTTTTTCAAACCAAAATATATGATATTAAAAAAATCATTTAAGGAAAAAAAAACTCAAACAAATGGCCTTGATAATTATTAAACATGCTCCAACGCAATTTTTCAAAAGTTATAAATATGTACAAACATGCACTCACTATAATTGTATCACGGTCTTATTAGTAGTAACTATCAGTGTTTTACTTAAAAAATAAGCATCCACGTTTTTTTCTTTCTAAAAGGACATTAGTTTTCAAATGTAGCTTCTTCTTTAATTAAAAAACAATGGCTAGCTTTGTCAATAAATATAGCTTCTTTTGAAAATATAGGCTTAAATTCTTACTTTAAAAATCAGTTTTTTGTCCTTCAAATTTATTTTCTTTAAAGTTTTGTTGGTCTCTAATGGATTAATATTAATTAAAATAAAATAAATTATTTTTAGTTACGTAATGCTGAGATAATTTATTAATAAATATTTTTAATTCAAAAGTCAAAATATTTAAATGAAATATCTTGAGCCTATCCCTTTAAGGTGCTTGTTAAAAACACAATTTAGCTAAAGTAGAAGTGCAGTGCTTTACAGTGAATAAGCTCATGTAAAGAAGCATTACAATAAATAAGCTCACATGAAAAAACTTTATAATGAAGAGGCTTAAACACACTAGCTAGTGTACTTTGATGCTTCCAAGCTTGATGAAAATTTTATACTTTGCTAACTCTTTTGGTACTGGCATGTGGTGAATGGTGGGTTTTTTTGTGGTGAACAACTATTCTCTATGGAGTTATATGTGAGAGACTTTGCTCTAACAAAGATCCTAGTAAATGAAGTTATATAGAAAAACTAGATGTTAAAAACCCAGAAAAATAAAGAAAAAAATTAACTTACATTATTCACGGGTCTTTGCCGAAGTTTTAGTTCTTACTTTCTACTAAGTTTTGAATCTCATTCTTACTTTGATATGACATATGCATGTTGTCGCACCTCGAAAATTCATTTCGAACATACGACCCTCGCGCGAAAGGCGCGGAAATGCGGTTCGACAGAGTCGCCACCGAACTTTATTTTTCCCGAATATACGGGAGAGGAAAATATCGAGAAAACCTCATAAGCGCGGAAGGAACACGGCCGTCGCAACCATATTCCTGGGTTCGGGAGTCGGTTACGCGAGGGGAAGGTATTAGCACCCCTCACGTCCGTCGTACTCGACGGGAACCTCTTAATTCGAGTTAATGGATGTTAGCTAAACTTAATTCTTCTCTTCTCACTACTAAATACTAAAACGGTACTATAAGGGCTAAAGACGCTAAGGGGGAAGGGGATGGTTAGAAGATAGGGTGCTCGCCAAGGATTGGGGCCCTTGTGCCTACGTATGCTCATTCGGACGAGAATGAGAAATCAGAGCGTCGTAGTTCGACTACGGGAAAGGATGGGGGGAATAGAAGATGGAGGGAATTGTGCTCGCCAAGATCATCGCAATCTTGTGCCTACGTATCTTGCATTCAAGAATGAATGAAGAATCAGAGCGTTCGTAGTTCGTGGTAACGACCACGAAAGAAACTGGATTTGAATTGGATTGAAGTGGGTACGGATGACGATTACTCGAAGCTTAAGAAAGACTTCTTGTACCCAAGTAATCGGGAGAGCGAACCAAAGACTTGGAACACTCTCTT